CACACTGGAGTTAGCAAAAAAGCTGGATAAGACCTACCTGATATAACCAAGACCAACGCTGCAGAAAGACAGATTGTATGTAAATTTCGACAGCAGCCTGCCCCTCAGCCCCAATTCAATCTGATTACTTCATAGAACTTCATAGCATCTACCTGACTTTGACTTTCACTGTCAAATAGTCGATTTTAACAAATCACGACTCGTTAATGCCCTTGTGCAAATCAGACGCATGAGTAGAAAAGTCATCCACATATTTAACGGCTCTCAAACTGTGGTACAAGTAGGGCTGCAACTAACAATAATTCTGTTAATCAATCAATGTGTCCATTATGCCTTGGGTTAATAAGAAGATAAATTTCCTAAATTTCCTTATAGAAGTTGTTTTACACAATTTAAACCAGGTAAAACAAAAAAAACATTAATCTTAAATGCAAAATACTGTATCTATGTATATATGTTTTTCAATTTTAGTATAATAACAGCTCTAAGTGGGTTGCTTAGTGGGTCAGCTGAAGGCATATTTAAGGGTCTCTTTACTCAATCGGTTAATTAGTTGACGATTATTTTAATAAGTGATCACGATTGATCGAATTATTGTTTCGACCTTAGTTACAAGTTCTAAAAGAGATATTTCAGCTTTGTTTGGTAGTACTTAAAAGCACTGTCAGCATTCACCATTTAAAAGGGAGCTATTATCAGTGTTTTGACAAACTTAGATAAAACAAATACCAGATATCAGGTTCAAGCCAGTTTTATTTATATAGTGCTAATTCATAATGTCATCTCAAGGCATTTTACAAGTTACAAGTCAATGAAATCATACAAGAAGATTGGTAAAAAGTTGTCTACCTAAGGAAACAAGGCAGATTGCTTTAAGTTACTGACTTTGAAGGATTCACTCCTCCTGGATAGGCATTTAGTGACAGTAGACATTTGCTCGCATTGTGTCTTCAGTTTTAAAGCAATCCCTCACACTGATAATGCATGCATGCAGCAACAGTGGAAAGGAAGAACAGTCTTTTAACAGGAAGAAAGCTGCAGTAGAAATAGGCTCAGTTTGACCAGCCTTCTGTTGGAGCCAACTGGGGTTTAAGAATACAGAAGCAGACACACAAAAAGGAAAATAAAAGCAGTAATTTACAAATACTCTCTAAGTTAACAAACAATTAGTTTTTTTTTTTCTGGGAGACCGATGATCCAAACTGACCTTTCATTATGTAAAATGGAAACTAAGTTCCAAACCTCCCAACTAACTGCCATCAAAACTAGCAATTAGTCTTTTCTAGCGATTTAGAATTAAAGCAATTTTAAGAAGAACGACAAAAAATGACAGCAAAAGGAATTTTTATACTCAATTTATAATACATTAGCATGGGGTATTGAAAGAAGCTTGATCAGTTTCCCCAAAGTGATCAAATTAGCAGAATAATATGCTTCTAGAACGATATGGTCAGCCATGAAGCACAGACAGGATGAATCCTCCCTCAGTGCTTACTAGAAAGCAGGGAGCTGGGAGTCTGTGGTTTCAATGATAAGAAGCTGTTGATTAAGGCTTTCAATGAAAAACAAAATCACACTGTATGAAGCATGATGAGGACCTGCACACCGTGTGACTGTTAGTGAAACGAATCCCTGCCTGCCTGCCTTCGGTACTACTGTTACTCCTCATCTGTCCAAATCGTTCACAAGCTGATCTCATCCATGAGCTCACCATTTTATCTTTACTCTGCCAGAGCGCAAGATGTGCTCAGGGATGACAGACTCATAAATCTGCAACTCTTTAGTTGGGTATACAGCTTAATAGGTCTTGAAACAACTTCATCATGTGATGAACCATTAATCCCCATACAACAGGTAACACTACACTCTTATAGACAGGGCGTGTGCTGAATTTGTGGCCACGGTTGAGCTTTTTATTTCCCCAATTATCTTTGATTATCATTTCCCAAAATTACAAAATATGGTATAAATGCATAAAGGAAAAAAAAAAAAGGTTTTCTTGGAATGCTTTCAGTTCAAAAGAGGAATGCTTGGAACTGGGGAAATAGTGGTGGTGTTCCACATCATCAGCATGTGACGCTTAAGTCAGATAAATGTCAAGTAAATATTCTTATGTAACTTTGAAGTATAAACGGGGGGAATAAGTGCACCATTGTTACAAAAAAGTTCCTATGCTAGAAGCTTTAAATGAGAGTGTGAGGAGGGCCCCGTTTGGCCTAAAGAACAAATCTTCTCTCAATCTATGAATTTCATTACTAATCCACATTTAACAAGTACTTATACCGATGCATGTATTATTGTATCTAATCAAATTAAATTATTTTATATTTTCACTGCTTACTACCTGAAGAAAGGATGGAAATACTAAACAAGCTCTCAACCCCCCTCACTATCCTCTCCAGGGCCATTTTAAAGATTGATTGCTGCTGAGATCTGATGGCAACACAATCCTAAGATGTTATAAGAATGGCTTAGAAAACATAAACAAGCAGTGGAAGTAGAATAGGGCTCAAACAATAACAGACATAATTTATTGAATAAATACTCAGCTTGAGTATAGAGACCCTAAAACAAGCCATCAGTCAAAAGAACAACCCAACACTAAGAGCAGCACCTCAGCTAAAACTGTACAAATATTATATATATATACATATATATACATTTGGCATTTATGATGAAAAAGTTTAGTTAAATTCTTTAAAAAATCCCATATTAATCACATTTTCTATTAATTAATTGAACAATTAGTTAACAGGATAATTGAGTAGGAAATAATTGTTACTAGCTCTACATGCGATCATAGAGGTTTATATTCCTTGTAAGAGTGGTGGGTGGAAAAGAAAATTGAGCAAGCAGACTGTTTTCTCCCTAAAGCTTGTGGTTTGATTATAGTTGAATTTATGAAGCTTATTCAGATGAGTAAAAACATTTTAAAATATCTCAGGTTAGTCATAGTAATTTGTAGTATTAGAGACCATCACTGAACGACTGCTCTTGTGCTTTCTTCAGTTCGTCGTAATGTTGCCTCCCGGTTTCCCTGGCTGCCACATATTTAAATTACACAGATCATCTATGTGATTCATAATTTGTTTTAATGAAATAAGGTTAGAAAAGGGACGTCTTTCGTTTTGAAAGACCTGGATTATAAATAAAGCTAAGCCTCCCTGCCATTTCTTTCATATTATTACATGAAAGCACAGCACAGGCCTATTCCCCCCACCCTCCCTCACTCTCTGGCCCTGTCACAGCAGATACCTTTGATCTGTCTAATCAGTTGAACATCAGGAACAATTTTGACAGGCTGTAGAGCGGAGAATCCTCTCCTTACACAGCCACCCAGCATCCATCTCCATGTGAACCCTAAGAGGCTGGAAACTGATGTTCAGATGGTGAAGAGAGGAGTATGTTTCATAAAACAGCTGAAATGACCTAGGATAATCAACAAGGAAACAATTTGGACATGTGTTTTTATTATAATAATGTCTTGACAGCTGGTGAGCAAATTCTGGCAGTCTTCCCTGAGAAACCAGGGATGATCATCTGACTAAACCGGCAGGGGAAAGCGTTTTAAAGCACATTTCCACAGCGTTCCACCTATAGGGAACATAATCTACACAGAAAAAGGCAGCATGTGTTCTCACAGGGGTGAATGACATTAACAGAATGATATAATAAAGGCAAACATTTGGGATCCCACAACTAGAATGCTGTTAGCTATTGCTGTGAATTGCAAAATGTTACGCTAACAACTTCACTCCTGTCAATGTGAAGGGACATGCACACCTGCACTGGCAGGCTCCCAATGCACTTTATCATTTTTTTCCCCCCATAGAGAATAAGACCAGATTTCATTATATTCTCTGAGCCATTTACACCCCCACACACTGTCCCACATGTAAATACTCCATTCCTAGATCCTCCTGCATGAGAAGAGAAAGAATTGGAAGCAAAGTGATGATTTACAGATAGGACACAATATCCTTTAACGAATAATCTTCTCTTTCCAGCTGGCCTAACTGTACAAACTAAATGTTCTTAGGTTCATTACACCCCAAAACAGGTGCTTTTTTTCCCTAGGTCAAAATCTTTCCTCCATCAACTCATCTATTCTGAACTTTGACCAGAAAGCAAAGGTGACAGGTGTGCTTGCAGTATTGCAAAAGCTAAAAACCCATAACTACATCTCTCATCATGAAAGAGTAGAACCTATTTAGTGCAGAATACAACATACTGCCACACCATTAAAGCTCTAAGCTTAATATAATCATATTAATTTGGCATTTTTGTCTTAAAACCTCTGCTTTCCAGTGCAAGACTTAATGTTATTAGGTGAGCTGTTGCTGCTAACTGTGATACAGCAACAAGTTGTTGCAAAATGGCAGACAACATGGACCAGCAGGAGTAATTGAAGGAACCTAAAGGGATCATATGGTAGTACAAGTTTTATATTTGAATTTAGTTAGTATAATTAAACCTTTTTTTTCATCCCTGCATATATAATTTAAAGTTAATTTGTTTTCTGTGTACTAGTTTATTTTAATATATAATGAATGCAGATTAATTGCATGAAGTCCGCATAGGGAGATTTTTCTGTACATCTAATTTTTAATCAATCTAGGTCTGCAACTAACTAATATATTGCAAATTGATTAATCTCTAGATTATTTTTTAATTAAACCAGGCTTAATAAAAAATATAAGGAGTTCAGGATAGTTTTTTTTTTTTTTTTTAGAAAAAAGCAGTTTTTTTTATCTTAAATGCAAAATGTTTACTTATTTTTTTATAATTTTGATATAATCACTGCTCTAAAAGGGTTGTTTTTGTCAGCTAAAGGCATATTTTACAGTCTTTTTAATCCAGTTAACAATTAATCGATTACTAAATTACTAGATGATTATTTTAATAATCAATTAATCACGATTCATCGTTTCAGCCCTAAATCAATTCATACACTGCTCTGTTAAGGACTGGCTAAAAACATGTTCAAGGCTCTACTGTACCTGCAGCAGAATGGATGAGGACGCTCTGGTTGGGTCGCAGGTTGCCAAAGTCAAACAGCATCAGGTAGGCGGTGATGTAATTGACTGGGAGGGCAGCTGCCTCCTCAAAACTCATCCCCTCTGGGATGAGGAAGGTGTGGCTGGCCGGCACCACAGCTACCTCCTGCCACAGCCCAAAGCGGTTCAACACCATCACCTTATCACCAACCTAAACAACAAGACAGCAGAAGAAGACGTGTGCAGTGATTATCAGGGGAAAAAAATGATGCTCAGTCGTTAAATCTGCAGCAACTAAAGTATTTTCATCAAAGAGGCAACTGTATAGATTTGTGAATTTGTAATTTTTTCAAAAATGAAAATATGTTTTCTTTGAAACAAATAAAAAATAGAGATTAATTCAGGAAACAGTACTTTTCACAGATCTTGGTAATAGGAAAACATACTTCTTTAGAGGGTGATTCAGCATACTAAACCACTTTTCTTATTTTTTCCACATTCCTACACTCTTATGTTATTAACCAAATATTACTGAAGGCAGTATTGTTGTTTGGTATGGCTAACATTCATAACCATGGCTGCTGCTTTGCAAAAACTGAAAAATGGACAAACAAACAAACAACTGTTAAAGCAGTGGTCCATGGGAGTTTTACCTGTCACTTTTCTAGCTTCCTGTATCTGCTGGCTGTTCAGTAATGCAACTGTTTGCTCCACCTAGTGTAAATGTGAGGTTCATTAAGGCTATTCATTTCCCTTTTTTTATGAGTGAAGTATTCAACTACATTTTCAATATCTTAGAATCTCTAAAAATAAATTTGCTTTTGCTTATATTATAGCAATGGAGCTTCCAAACAAATCATGCAAACAATGTTACAGATCATGGCTGCACCATATCAGGACATTTTCTTAGGGATTCTACTTCTTAAATCATATCAATTAAGTTTAACTCACTCCTGAACCCTTGTCTTTCTATACAATTAATGTCCACACCAAAACCAAGCCAGTAAGGATAAAGTACACATAAGGCTTAGGAACAAGGATGGTCAGTCAATCCAACTGGCAATACATATTGTGGAATAAATGGGGTGTAGCTCATTAAGATTAGACATATAATATCTAACCAAATATTGCATTCATTTAGTCTTATGTGATTAAGTTCTTGCACAAACTGATATTGCATGATCACATAGATTTCATTTTGTGCAGATATAACTCAAGGACGGTATTTCAGGGCTGTGGACAAATAAAGGTTTTCAAATGCAAACCAACCATTTAAGTTGGAGCTGTTGCTGTCCTGTGATGTGGACCTCACTGTTTCTTTCATACAAGAGTGGAAGATGCAAAATATGTGGCAGGATAGGTAAGGGTGGGAAATATTGTTTTGTTTAAAGCAACAGTGGACATGCAAAAACAAAACCACGTCATCTAGATTCATTTAATTTCAAAGCAGAAATATAAAGGTGAGATAGGGCAGTATACAAGAAATATGATAAACAGATTAAATGGATGCTTTTAACATACCGTAGTATTTTGTTATTTTCAAATAAGTAAAACTAAAACAGGGGGAGAAAAAAAACACCTAACAAACGCAATGTTGCCTTCAGCATACACCCCCACATATATAAAAGAGAGGAAACCTTTGTAAGAAGAAAACGGTACAAACTATTTCTTTCAATTCATGTTATCTCACAATCAGTCCAAAAGTGAGCAGAAAGAAAAAAAAGATTTTAAAAACATGATGGAAAAGACTGAACTGGTCTAAAGAGCTTAACAAACGTATCTAATTTGTGGTTAAGATCATGCGGCAGCATTTCCATGATAAAAATGGGTAATGTCAAATGTATGGACATATGGGGAGGTGACAGATTACACTTCTCAGCAAGTAATCAATAAGAACTTTAAACAAGTATTTCAAATCCTCATTCAAGTTGGAAAACATTTACAGGGTAAAAGAGGGCATTACAACAAAGACTGGAACAGTTGATGAACATTCTCTTGAGACGGATGGGAGGATAAAGATCTTTTTTAAAAGTTGGGAATTTTATGTATTTATAGAAGTAGAAGGTCTGTGCCAATCCAAAGAGCTGAAATTTACATCCAGATCCTACTTCGACAAAGGTTTCTAGAGTCAAAGCGCGAGGATTCAGGACCTGGAAAGTAAACCTTTGGTAAATGATGTTGAAATCAGGGTTTTCCAGGTCTGTCTGTTCCAGCCATAACTCCTTAGGCCTTAAAAAAAGACTTAATGAAATGGCAAAGATAAATGTATTCATAAAACTCTTTATAAGAATTGCTGCTATTGGCCCTAATTTGGTCAAAAATTTGAGAGAGCCAGGAATGAACAAGTTGGTGAAATTAGACCAGTAGAGGAACGGTTCAATAAACCAATACTTCTAATATGGGTTGGCAAATTGTGGTTTATAGCCAGGGGGAGATGTTTCTTCACATCATTCCAATCCAGCAACATATTTAAGACTATTAAGATATCCCTCAGAAACTCTACTTGAAAGTTCAATCTTCTATGATCCAGGAAGGCAGGATGAAGATTAAAGGCCCAGAAATTAGGAATACTTCCTACACTGAAAACCAATCTGACATCATTTTAATCTGAGCTGACCAGTAATAAAGCTGCATGTTTGGTAGTGAAAAAACTCTCAGGCGCTTGAGTTTAGTCGGCATAGAGAAAAGCCTTCAAGAAAAAACTTTAACAGCTTTAATGAAGAATTACTGAATACTATAACACTCCTAGTAGTCTCAGTCGACAATTAAAGTTAATTGACAATTCAGAAAATGCTAAAGATCTGCCCACAATTCAGCAGTCGTTTCATTTTTCTTTTTGCTTTTTAAAATTCTGACACTTAAGAAATACAGCTGTAATCACTGTTCAATGAATGTGTGATATTTTTGCCATAGGTTATTATATTTTCAGAGTTTCATACCAGCCCAGGCCTAATGTTGACTTCCTTAAACATTAAGAACAACATGTTGCAGGCTGTGAATTCCAATCTCCTCTGTTCCCCACCTTTCCTTATCAAAGCAGGATCCTCAGATACACAACTGTCTCTTTCCAAAAGAATGAGCCATGATATAAACTTCCCCCCAGCCCCTAAACCAACCAATCAGGAGAACTCACTCGAGGGACACAGGAAACAGAGACGACAGCAGCATTATAACCCTCTTCCTGTTTTCTTCCACCCCCCCTTATCCAGTTCTCCCAACATAGCCTTCCCTCCCACCCTGTTTCCATTCTCCTCACTTTTTCTCTTCCCTTCTTTCTCTTTCACTTCCTGAGTCCTTTTCCTCTTACAACTTTAGAATGTCTTCCTTCCCCTTCTCCAGTTCCTCCCCCCGGTCTCATCCTGTCTGTCTTGTGTGGCGCTCCCTCTTTCATCCTCTGGTCCTCATTCTGTTGTCTTTTTCTTCTCCCCGTTTTGAGGAGTGCCACCCCCCTTCCCTTCTTCCTCATCAGTGTAACAGGACAATAGGGCCCATCTTCTCTACTGGCTTCTCTCCACTCATCAGCCTCCCTGCCAGATTCTTCCTCATGGGTGAGCCGAAGACAAGCTCTCTCCTCCTGGGAACAAACCCTCTCTCCACTCGGACCTCTCTAATGGTCTGGAGGGAACCATGCGTCTCACTGTCAATCCACTCCAATTAGAGAGATTTCTGTCTCTTTCTCTCCGAGGCTTTATCTCACTCTCTGAGGGCAAGTCATTTGGTTTACTTCAAACTACATATTTTCATGTTGTTGCAGTCGGTTAATTTCTTTGTTCTACATCTCCATCTTCTGATTTTATTGAAGTCTTTGAACTCATCAAGCTTACTGGATAATTGGGGTTCAGTGTGGCACAAAAATCAAAATGAGGGGGAGTTAAGGCTTTTACAGGAAAAAAAAAAACACGACTCACATAGTCAAAAGGATCTGCCACTATTCTTTCATTCCCCTGCAAAGCATGGGAGTTACTGTCAGTCATACAGCCGGTTTAGTAGGAACATTCAAAGCCAGGCAAAAAGGCCTTGTGACACTTCTGTTTCAACATCTTCACAGTGTGACACAGAAACAGGCAGTCATGCACATCTTCCATTTCCTCTCAGCCTTCTTTCTGTGCAGTCACTGTCGGGGTCTGGGGTGAGGGGGGGTCATCAAACAAAGAAACTTTTAGTTAACTAAAACTGAAAAGACTTAATCAGCTGGTGATTCAGTTTCAGGGTATGCAGACCTCCTAGTCAGCTGGCTTTGCAGTTCAGAGTTTTGACAAACTCAGCAAAAAAAACAAAAAAAAAAACACAAGGATGATCAGATTTTTGAAGCAACGTTTCTGAGTCAGGCTGAGACAAAAAAGGTTAACAGATGAAGCTTAGTCAGCGCCTTTGACTAAAGCCTGTGGTGTCGCTGTATCTTGAGCACTAAAGTGTCTTAATACAATTTAACATTACCTCCATACCTTGTGCACAATGAAAATGCAAACAATTATGAGGGCAGGTGAGTGTCATTTTCCACTAATTACTGTGTTTTGCAAAAATTGAATATTTGTTCTTTCTGAACATTTAGATTTTTTTTTCCTATGTCAAGTTGCAGATTAAACTCACTTTATTCCCTTTTCAGTTATGGATTTTTAACACAAATACTACAAAAAACTGGTTTGGTGGATTGGATAGGACTGGCTCAGGGTTCCTATCCTTCTTAAATAAGAAAATCCCTGAATGAGCTAAAAAAAAAAAATCAGAAAACTATAATACTTTATGTAATTATTATCTGTGTCCATTATATTCACAATTGATCTGATTGGATGCCCTCTGGACTCAGTGTAGGAGTTGGGAAACTAAAGCATTCTAAGTAAATGAACATCTCTGTTGGATCATCCCACCCCATACTTGAAGCTGTTGAAGTACTGGAGAGCTCCTTGTGCTTCATCCTAAATGCACAAGGGAGCGTTATCACAGATCCTTCCTCCCAGCAGCTGGAAGACTTTATAACCACTGCTGTTCCCAACAACCTCAATAAATTGCTACATTAATGCTGATTTTCCACAGTTTCTACCTTAGTCAGTTAAATAACATGCTGCTGTCATTTTGCATATCTCTGATGTTGCTATTTTCAAATATCCATTACTGTAAAAATGTCCATAGCTGTATATTGGTTATTTATTTTCCAGGTGAACAGTTGTTATATTGTTAAAAAAAAACAACATTATAGACCACTATTTTATTGTTTATCTTTTAACTATCTTTCTAAGGTCCATATTGTGTGACCATTTTTTCTATAATCTCTTTGCTGCTGCTGCAAACACCAGAATTTCCCCATTGTGCTACTAAAGAAGGATTTTCTATTCTGTTCCATTCTATTTACCGCGATCCAAACTGGATAAATACATGGCTTATACGTTGAATTATCACTGAAGTAGATTGGCAGATATCCAGGGTAGCATTAGAACAGGGGGAGCACAAGAGCCATATAAATTTGATATAACTTATATCTTTTAGATGTAGCCTATAACTTTGATGCCGGTCATAGAGGGTTAGGACCCCTGTGCTTGTAAAGGAGAAGGGACACTAGCTAATGGGTAGCAATGCTCCAATACAATTTTTTTCCTCTCCGATACGATACCGATATTGCAGCTTTGAGAGCTGGCTGATACCGATATTGACCCGATACAATATTAGAACGAATCAAGCCAACTTTTATAACTTATTTTATGCTGTAGAAGTTAGGAAAGGCTTGACCAAGTAATATTACTAAAAACGGGGAACCAAGTCAACCACCAAAATTATGAAAACAAAGGACCCATTTAAAATTAACCTATGAGTTACAAAAACTTTTGACAGAAACAGAGTGTTTCTATCAGCATGAAAATCTGCGATAATATTAGTTTTTTGGCAAATATTGAACCGATATCCAATATTATTATTGGACAGAGACATCCCTGCCAATGGGCTTTGAGAGAGACTGTTTTTTTGGCTAGGTCTGGGATCTTATATTCTGTTTGTAATTTATGAGTGGGGGCATAAGGAGGTGCTCACACAGTTTAACATTTATGCAAGCACTGTTTCTACAAATTTAAAAGTGGCCAAGATGCTATGAACGACAGAGAGTTAAGTTCAACATCCAAATTACCAATCAAAAATAGGATTCATTGCAAGTTGTGTTATCACTGCATTATTTAATGCTAATATCATCACTGCAGGGTGAATAACTTTTTTTCTGATTTTGTCAACATATGCTTGAACCACACTGAGATTGATTTCAAGTTAATTTATCAATTGTTATATCAAAAAAGAGAGTTTATCTTTTGGCGTTAACCCAGCATGTCAGTAAAAAGCTGCAAATGAAAATATTATTGAGGCATGATGATTCTACTGCTGATGTGTGCATGTCAAGGCAATTTACATGTTTATCACATACTCATTTAAACAAGTTGACTTTTCTGAAATGTCTAGAAAAATTTGATTGTGTCCTTTCAGTCGACCAACAGCTGTCCCTTTGCTTGTCATTAGAGATATTTAGTCATAGTCCAGTGGGTAGAAGGGGTTTGTCTAGATGACTTGAGGATAGATAGATAGGGATGGGGGGGTTGATGGAGGAAATACCAGACTGACAATGTAGGCCAGAGGGAGGTAATTGGGAACATATGGGTCAGATCCCTCCAAAACTCACCAACAGAGAGAGCCTCCATGTTTTTTAAACAAGGCTTGAGGAAAAAACTAAAAAACTGCTGGTATTTGGCATCATGGGAGCCTCAGAGTGATTTGTGATGTTTCCGCTCCCTCCTTGCTTACTCTCTGTTACTCTTTCCCCCTACAATCCTGCTTAGGTCATGTCGGGTGAGCTCACTATAGACTCACTTAACATTACCAAGCATCTGAATGCTTATTTAGCAAAAAAAGAAAAGAAAAGGAATACAGTAAGGTATGAAGTCTGCAAAAAAAAAAAGTAAAATAAAAAGTGGATTCAACCAGAGAATTTACTAACAGATTAAATCCTGCTAGGAAACATGTAAGCTATCAAACATAAATCTACATTTATTTAAATATTCTTTCCCCAAAAAAAATCTATTTTTTTCTCTCTTATCATGATTTATAGGTGTATGAATACCATCGTAAAAGCTTATTTCATCTGCCAGTGAGCTAAACAAATTAGAGATCATGAAATACTAAAAAGACAAAATAAGATCAAGTTGATTTGCTGCATATGTTGCTTAATCTGTTCAAAAAGCATAATCTGTTTGGAGTTTTCTTAGAAACTACTCAGACACACCCAATGTCTTTGTGTTTGTGGGATAGAGCAGCAGAAAGTGAACCTCCCCAAATAAAGCTTGCAACTTGTGGTCATAAAATTCTCTCTGAGTTACAAAAAAAAAATCTCAGAGAACTCCAGTCATCAGAGGATTTGGCTCTTAATTCAATTAGCGAAAAAAAAAAAAAAGGCTGTTAGTGGAGGTGGGAGTGTGCTGACAAGCTGCATATGCATGTATGCGAGTCGTCTGTGACCTTTAATTCAATGAACATCAGTGACAATGAGGAATACAGCAATAAATAAATGAACCCGCTGAACTCTCGTAGCACAGGCCTTCCATCCATCCATCCATCCATCCATCCATCCATCCATCCATCCATCCATCCATCCATCCATCCATTTATCCATCCATCCGTCCATCCATCCATCCGAGCCACACCCAGTCAGGTGAAATCAGTCAGCTTCTGCTTACATCATACATGTGCTAATCACTGGATTATCCAGAATGGAGCTCAAACAATGTGAATCATCATGCTGCGTTAGGTTAAACTGCCTCTCACAGATGTTGCCTTGGTGATGCCATGCAGCCAGAAGAGAGCCATGAGCTACCATGGGCCTGTGACTCATCACTTAAAGCCCTCTCATTAACAATGTGCGGGTTTGAATACTTTCCTGAGTCTTGCTGTGAGATTTGATTTTTAGTTATGTTTCTCTTTCTTTTTTTTTTTATTATGTCTAATAAGGTTTCAACTGTATAACAGCATGTTGGCTTGTAACTATGAGGGGGAATCAACGACTTCACACCTCATGGTGTCTGTCTGTGAGGCGCCTCGCCCTTTTCCACTCCGAGCGTTTGTGCGCCACCGTCTCTCCCGTTAACAAAAGGCGTCGCTTACTCCAATCTCCTCCACCGACGTCAATTTACATCAACCATTAATATTATTTCCGATTTATCTCCAAAATAAATCACTTTTTTTTACAACAAAATCGGCGCATTTGAATTCATGACAGTCAGCATTTTCTGAAATATCCTTTCTTAGTTGCAAGTTTTTTTTTATAAATCACTTTTATTGTGCAGCGTTGCCAATATTTTAGGTGTCATCACACATACAGAGGGACAAAAATAAAATAAAACAATTAAAATATCTAGGCAGTATGTATAGCTTTAATTTTGAAAGCAAGAATGCCTAATTTCCTGTCTAGCTGCTGCCAGCTGAGTGCAGCGCTCCAATCCGTGGCGCACACCAAAGCGCACAGCAGCGTGGGCGCAGTGAGGATGGAAGGCATCCCATGGATCTGAATTGGCTTATTTAGCTTTACGCTTTTGAAACAAACAGCTTGAATAGACAGAAATAACAGATTGCATCTTTGCAACTTATTTCTAACCTATAGTAGAAGTTGGCTTAACTTACCCGTTAAAAAAAGAAAAATTAAAGAAAAGATAAACGAGGACGACGCCTGTTTAATTTGGCCTTTCGACTTATGCTATCTTATTACTTTAGATCTATTCTACAGATATCAATTTTAAATTATCCTTTAAATAACCCCATAAAGTCAACTTTTATGCACCTTATTAATTCATAGAAGGGGACAAACTGAAAAGCTGCACATTAACATCTAATCAAAATGCATAATTTGGAGATTTCTATTGCCTTTGTTAAAAAATAAAATCTTTCTGATCTTTATTATTGAAGCCTTGGAGCTTGAAGTTTATAACAATGTAGCGCTGACACAATGAGGGTGCGCTGCTGCCTGACACGCCCATGCCCACAAAGCACCCAAAATCCAGCTGATATTAAACAACATGGAAATAAACAAAGAAAAAAATGTTTAATGTAATGTAAAACAAAGGCTGGCGTAATGTTTGCTTACTTTTCTGTCAGTTACTTCTTCCCCGACAGCCTCCACCACCCCGGAGCACTCCATCCCCGGGGTGACCGGCGGGGATGGCAGCCGGTCGTACAGACCCTGTCTGGCCATCAGGTCGGCGAAGTTGAGCCCGCAGACCTTGACCCGGACCTGCACCTCTCCAGCTTTGAGTGCAGGTTTCCCCTTCTTCACCTGCAGCTTGACTTTATCATACCCTCCGTAGCCGGTGAGAACCAGAGCGCGGTAGGTGAAGGTCTCCTCTTCGGGGGCCTTCTCGGGGGCCGCCGCCGGGGTGGCCCCAGCCTCCGCGGACTCCGTCTTTGGAGGCTCGGCTTTAGGCTCCTCTGCGGGCTTGGTCTCCTGCTTCTGGTCCACGGCGTTTTGCTGCTGGGCAGGTGCGTCCTCTCCAGACATTGTTGTGCAGATACAGTGGAGATTCAGGGGAGAAAAAAGAACTTCAAAGATTTTTGGTTTTCACTTTTATTAGTGATTTTTTTGCAGCCGTGGACGGTTTTATCCGGGTGGGCTGATTTGCAGGAATATAAAGAAAGTCTGAGGTTCTTCTTCAGCAGTCTTGCATGGAGACACTAACCCCGAGAAAGTGGGTTGATCAGTGGCTGTCAGCGCCGCGCTCTGACTGAGAGTGTGAGTGGGGCGAGACGGAGGCAGACTGGAAAACACGGAGAAATTCAGGGATTGGTTTATGTGGCTGTCTGGGTTTGGCTGCTCGGATGGAGTAATAAATTAAGTCCAAAAGCAGAGAGATCAGCCGGAAATATTGACTTTAGGAAGCAAAGGGAGGTTTATTAAAGTCCAAGGTTTGGAGCTTACTGTTAAACCAGTCTAACTCTAGATTTACCATCTTCTCATTGTTAATGTCTTTATTTGTTTGACCATTTTGTTTTTTGTTATCATAAAATCTATATTCAAAACACCAATCCTCCATATCCAAATCTCTACTTTTTCAAATGTCTTAAAAAAGTAATGATACTTATGGAAATGATCCATCTTTACCATAAAAAAATAAAACAACTACATGACAGATTAAGGCTTAGTTATATTTCAAAAGAAAGGAAAAATTCTTTAAAGGTTTTAATTAATGTAAAGCAAAGGTGTTTCTTTACGAGCTTACCTAATATTAACCTCCATCCACTGACCAACTCTCCCTGCTCTGATGAAGAGAAGAATCCCAACAGCATAATGCTGCCATCACTGTGTGTAACCATTGTTAATCTGTGTCTAGTGATGAGTAGTACAGTAATTGGCTAAAACATTTATTTAATCAGAGCATCTTTCAAAAGACTTTTTAAAGGGAATTGTATTACTTATTTATTTCTTTGAACTGTGGAACTCGGCAGCTCATTCAGCATCACCATGGCTCTCTTTGCATTTTCCCTGGTTTATGCAATCCTGTTCCATCCTGTCCTTTCCAGCCGACAGCCATGACTGTGCAGAGAAGTAAACTGCAAAAACACATAAAAAATTAAATTAAGTGTATTAACCCTTAATTTGAGTAGGTGAATAAGATGATTTGCAAATGGAATGATTATTTTTACCAGTAAAATAAGATCATTAGATATTATGCACTCGAAATAAGAAAATAATTTTGTTTTTCTTATTGTAAGTGTAAGTGTCTCACTTATACGGAAGAGGATTAGGGCCAGTGGGGGGAAAAAAAAGTTAACTGATTTTTAAATTTTATCTCAGTTTAGTATGGGAAAAAAGTCAGAATTCTGACTTTTTTCCCATGTTATACTGAAATAAAATTTAAAAATCAGTTAAATCATATTTTTTTTAGTGGACCTAATCCTCTTCTGTACACTTACCTCCTCAATTCAAGACAAAATGCACTTCATTTAGGCAAAAATGACTTATTTAGATCTATTTTTGCAGTGAAGTTAAGCCATACTCCTTCCATTCTCAGAGGAGGAGCTGAGAAAAACTTAGTGAAATGTTTAAAGTTTGGAAAATTGTTTTAGAAAATAACTTTAACCTTCTCATAATGTTTCCTCTTGACCTGTCTGCTGTGATTTAGGGTCTTCATGATGCTATTTGCTCTTAAAGAGATCTCCAAGGTTCTCATAGAACAGTTGGATTTATACTGGGATTCATTTACTCTCAGATTGACTATTCACTATTTGAACGACTTCTGTCAGGTGAAAGCCAGGATTTTATTTAAGTTCATCAGAGTGAAGGGGGCTGAATGGAAACTTATGCAACTTTTTTTTCCCAATGCTTAATTTAAAAATCAATCCAATGTTGCTTCAGAAATATATTCAATAAATACAACTTTGTTGCTAAGGTGTGATAAAACAAACAAACAAACAAACAAACAAACAAACAAACAAACCAAAAAAATGAAGTTTTGAATATATTGAAGTACTGTGTGCATCTATGTAAACACTTCTTGCTTTTTCTTCCTCATTTCTATGGTTGTACTTAAAGGACCTCTTCAATACTGTTCATATTTATTCTTTGTTTGTTATATTTGAAACATTGCATAGACTGTAAGAAGATTTGGTAGCATACAACATATTTAATTGTTTGTTTAAACTGAACACATTAACTTGGAAGAGACCTTAAATGCTTCAATCTATATTAAAATCTTTCAAAAAGCTCTGAATTAGAAGCTTTATGTCTTTGAGAAAGTTTTTTTCTTTGCATATTTGTTTATTTTTTTATCCTAAATGTAAATTTTTCTCTGAAAATGATACTTCTCTGAAAAGTCTTTTGAAGGTTTGTTTTGAAAATGATAAACAAATTTAAAGACAAAAGATATATCTCTATCCAGATATTGCTTACATTTTTTCCCCTTTTAGTCTCCCTGCCAAATTTTTGTTTTAAAACGTGTCCCAGCTCTTTCAGATGTAATAATTCACAAGCTACCCTGACAGAGTAAAGGGATTTAAATTTATTGCCACTTGCACTTGCATTCTGTTTACTGCAGCGTGTTTTGCACGGAGGTTTGTGAAACAACCAGGAATGGAAGGAAATGATTGTTTATGCTGCCTATTCTACAGTAGGATTTGCAGGAACTTTGGGTCTGTGTAAGGCTCATTGTTGCAACTTCCCTGCACCGGCAGGTCAGAAAAATATGAGTTTGTGTTAAGGTCAGGCCAGTTTCTTGGCAAAATAATATTATCTTCTGTGTATTACTTGGCCAGGAGCAAGGGGGGAATCCAGAGCTCGAATGATCTCTGAGACTAGTTAGTACAGTCAGCAGACATCTGTAGTTTTAAAGGTCAGCATCTGTGCACGATACCTTTACACACACACACACACACACATATATATATATATATATATATATATATATATATCCTTCAGTTAACTGTATAAAAGACTTGCCCAGTGTCCATCAGAGAGACTGACCACAGCAGGAGTGAAAAGACACCTTGTGGGTCCAGAGTGCCACTCAGCACTAAGTCAGCAGTGTCTAAATCAATATGCCACAGGGGCTTAATGATGTATAATGCAGGAGTTATAGATCTAATGCTTTGACACATGCTAAATGTTACATACCACAATGTTTGTTCTGCCGGTAACCATGGTGAAACTGCTCCATAGATATGTACAGTACCTTACAAGACCTGAGTTAAGCTATTTATTTCTTTGCGTTCTGCAAAGGAGCCAGACTCTAATCTTTCAAAGTGGTCTTGATCAATAGTTCATTACTCTTTCTAAACAATCTTTTAAAGTTTTTGATGCCCTTTGTGGAGCATATTCCAGAAGCTGGAGTAATAAGAATAGGATGTAGAAACAGATATATGGATAGGGTATGTAGTCTGAAGACGTCATGTTGAAGAAGTTTTCAGAATGCATAATGTTGCTTCATTTGATAATCAGCCTGGATAAAGTTCTTTGTTATGTGGCAGGCAGAAAGACTGAGTCTGCAAGGAGCCTCTGAGGATGTGTTTATTGAGCCGCAAACACTCCCACATTGCAGTGCCATTAAAATGTGCAAATATAAATATTTAAAAGAGGTATATGAAGAAAATATTTAATTAAAATCTCCAACATGGATGCCTGCATGGGTTATTACTAGATTTTACAATGAAAGTATCTAATAATCACTCAACGTGTCATAATGTTTTAATGTCCCTATGAATATGGTCAACATTTTTCCATACTAAATTATAAAATATGATTTTAATCAATCCATTTTATCTCCTCTTCTTATATGTTTTTTTTATAAATCTGGGTAAAACTTTTCTGAATTGCACCATTATTCAAAACTTCTTAAAATGATTCAGAAAAATTGCAGCATTCAGAAACAATAAAATACAACATAAAAATAAAAAATAAAAAGTTAGACATGACAATATACAGACAGATATAAGAATCAATGGCAAAATTTTCCAAAATAGATGCTTCAGGAATAAACTATCTTCCCTCTTCTTCCTTACAGGGATGCAAGGAAGCTGCTGTCCGACCATCACAGAGCAACGCAGCTAACAATATATGTGCCTCTGTGTTCAGATTTGGCTGTTGTCCAGTTCTAAACACAACATCTATTAAAGGTTCTCCAGTTAAACCCAAGTAAAATTCAGCTGTTAACATATCTTTTCCTTCCAAAGAGTCTAAAGATAGAAACATACAGAAGATCCTTCCTGCCCACGGCTATCAACACTACAACAACTGTTTAAAAAAAAACATATTTTTGAATTGTTAATTGAATTGAATTCCTTCCAAGAGTCATTAAATATGCCATGGGAGGCAGTGAAAAGAGTTGTAATCAAGAGGAGCAGGAAATATTTCACAACAGTGACAAAGAACTGAACATCCCTCCATTACTGGGAAGATTAAATGATAAAAATGGTCAGTTAGCGAGCTGCAGGACACCTGCAGTGTTCTACATGCAGCATCAGTTTATGTCATATGTCTTGGTTGCAGGGTAGTGTGGCAAAGCAGGAGCCTTTCTTATGAAGTTGAATAGAAAAAGAACTGGTTTGATTTTGCAAGAAAAAAATGTAACATTTAAAAACACAAGGGAAAAGAGTTAGGATCTGATGAAGTCAAAGCACAACCACAAGCATGAGATGCTCTCCCAAATATTTAACCATTGTTGCTCACCAATGCCTGGAATGTTTGTAATGGTAATAGCATACATTTCATCTTTCATACATTCCAAAACACACGACCCAATTTAAGCTTCAAAGAGCCTTTACTACACTTTTAAAATTTGATTACAGGTCAGATAAGGCTGTGTGCTGGCATGCCGCTACAATAAATGCCTCTGTCATGTACCTGAGTAAAGAAGCCCACACACATACACACCCACCCAGTTCAAAACCTACAAAGGTGGCGTCATTCGGCTTTGCTTGGTCAATGTTGGTTTATATGGGCAAACAAATCCTTTGTGTCTTTTATTTCTCTATAGATATTACATATTTAAAGGTTGGTCATCAAAAGTCAGCCTTTTTCCCTCACATCAGAACTCATAAAAAAAATGGTGTCAGTGAATTGCGTTTTGTTTATGCCAGCATTATTCTATCAAAATATTTAAGATGAAATCCAAATTTTTAAATTGACTGAAGTTCCAAAAAGGTTCCATTGTTTAACATGGGAGTTTTTTCCCCTTTTGAAAAAAAACAACCTTAGATTAAAGGATTTAAGTTTCCTATTTT